AAGACGATATCGTCGATACAGAGAATTTTTCTCATTGAATAAATTGTCTATTATTTGCTTCATGACTCAATTCGAATGATTAAGGTTGACGCTTAGGACAGGGCAGAAATGATGACGTCAATATAAGAAGCTTTTAAACCTCAGTGATCTGTAAAAATTATATGCATAATATGTTAAGCGTTTGAAAAGTGTTTTGCAAAAGTACTTTCAAAGAAGAGGATTAACATACAATTGGTGGATGTTGACCAGCAGTGGAATCCAGGATGCGCATTTCGTCCTATTTGGGACTCGTCACCTGGATGTACCTGCATTTATCAGTGAGTGATGATGTTCCCACCGAGGCTCGAACCCAGTACCCATAGTTTCAAACGCCAAAGCGTTATCCACTAGACCATTTGGGCCACGAGAGCCACCTCTTGTGCAACGGGTCATATTAATTATTGAATTGAATTTTTGATTTTCCCGTCGAATGATTGATTGGACCGAAGTGCTCGGTCTCAGGTTGACATGTCGGCTTCTTGTGCAGATGCTTCGACGATGTCTGGGTATTTAATTAGTATACAATTGGTGGATGGTGGCTAGCAGTGGAATCCAGGATGCGCCTCGGTGGGAACATCATCACTCACTGAGAAATGCGGGTACATCCAGCTGACGAGTCCCAAATAGGACGAAATGCGCATCCTGGATTCCACTGCTAGCCACCATCCACCAATTGTATACTAATTAAATACCCAGACATCGTCGAAGCATCTTCACAAGAAGCCGACATGTCAACCTGAGACCGAGCACTTCGGTCCAATCAATCATTCGACGGGAAAATCAAAAATTCAATTCAATAAGAGGATTAACAACTTGTAATACAGTAGTCTGAGACTTAAAAGTTTAACATCTCCCACTTAAACTACACCAAGCCTAATCACGTTTGCCCCATTACTGGGTAAGATTTCATAATAATAACTGATGACGTTTCGATTACCAGTTAGTCACGCATAGAACTATACTTGCATTTGAGCAGACGAGATAATTTTGATCATATGCAATCTAGATGAAATAACTCCTCTACCAAAACATGCCACAGATTAATCTTAAAAATTTAATTTGTGGATGGTAACTAGCAGTGGAATCCAAGATGCACATTTCGTCCTATTAGGGACTCGTCATCTGGACGTACCTCAGCCCGTAAAACATGATACCTACTGGAACTGGAACTTCAAATCTAAGGCTGAAGAAATTGAGCAAATGAATTGGAAGTTTCGTACAGTTTGGTGAATGATGACTAGCACATCGAAATCCAGGAGAGAAATTTGGGACTTGTCAGTTGAATGCACCTGCCTTCCTCAGTGAATGGTGGTGTTCCCAATAAGGCTCGAACTCAGTGACCCTAGTTCCAAAGAACCGAAGCTTAATACACCAAACCGTATGAGCCAAGAGGTCCGCCACTTGTTTACAAATCGATTTTCATTTACTGGATGATAGATTGCACTGAAATATATGGCGTCTCTTAACACATCGGCTCTTAGTTCGGATGATTCGACGATAACTGAGGATTAACATGAAGTGACTGGATAGATGATGACAAACACTGGAATTTTACGATGCAGAATTTCATCCTTTTCGGGGCTCGTCATCTGGATGTGCCTGTATTCACCAGTAAATCTGAAACTTTGGAGATAAATTATGAGGGATGAATTTAATGTTATCTTCCATACTCTTCAAGCGTATTGTAAGGTAACAATCAGCATACCTACCAGCTCAGACGGTGCCATAGATGAATTCGTCCGTATTTGAAGGATAATTTTCGTTTCATATTGGAAGATCACAACTTGGAAACATTCTTTCCCTGTCACGCTCTTCTGCGATAAATTACTTACTAAAAGTGTTAAAAAACCCGTAGAGTCTAACTAAGTTCATAGGCAACATTTGAAAATTTTGTTTCTTAACATGGCGTTGGTGGTTCTGTAGCAGAAACGTCACCAACTACATACATGGTTCAAGGTTCGATTCCCGATCGAAGAACTTTGAAACCTCTCTTCAGCAATAACATGCTCGGCATTGAGAGGAGACTGGACATGTAAGGTGGGTAATCTCACCCACGAAAATATAAAACAGCATCACATGGAATAATAAGAAGTTATAATAAGGCTGTTTCAGAAGTTACTCCTTATCATTATTCATATCAGTGTTTCAGAGTAACCATCCCTCTGAAAACTCAAAGGCAGTGAGAGTAGTATGGTTCTTTCATATAACAATAATAATAGCAAAAATGACGTTGATTTTAATCGGTTCAGCTGAACCACTTTGCCTGTAGGGTAATATAACGGTGAGCTTTTTCTGTCTAGAAATTCAGGTGTTCTGAGTTGAAAAAAATCTGTAAATGCATCGTAATACTATACTGTAGACACACTGTATTCTTGGACTTTATGTCAATCATTTACATACGGTGAAATTGTAAAAACAGAATAAAAGCTTACATAGTTAAATGCTTGTAGAAAAAAATGGAGTTGTGTCTTGTTTTTTTGTCACAGAACCACTAGTGCCTATAATCTACCATTTAACTAAGATTCATTAGCTGGAGTTTTTAAGGGAAACAGTAAAGAGAGAAGGATAATACGATGACATTTCATGTCACTAGTAGGTAATTCGTTGAGGAAAATAGTTTGAGCATGTGAGGCTAGCTACACTACTCTGTAAAAAAAGGCATCACCAGTAATGGAACTTCAAGGTTAATCCCAAAACTTTAAGCTGCAGTTAATAAAGGCGAAGGAATGAAGAAGACCATGGAAACAAATGTTAATTAAAAAATACAAGCTTACAGTGATAACGATGACAAATTTGGTCAAGTTTTGATAAATCTCACCGACAGACTACTTACTTATTTTATTTTTGTGATTACAGCTTGATGCCACACCGTATTTTTGGTACATGTATGTGATTTTCAGCATGTGATATCGGTAGCCCGAATTTCGCAGGCCGACCACAGGTATCCGGTGTGCGTCGGCAAAGGATCGAACTCCAGACCATGTGCTTGGTCGGTGAGAGTCCTAACCACTGTGCCACCGACGCACAATGAAAATGATCTAAATAGTCAAATGCTGGTCTGCAATGATTTGACTGTCTACAGGTCTGATTTTGGTGGGCCCGTACCACTTTAAGAACCTCTAGAAAGCCAGAGAGTATTGAACAGTGATTTCGTTCTAGTTTTCGCCCCTTCAACTGCACGCGTTTACCAAGTCAAATAAGAGGATCGTAGCTCGCTGCTGACAAATCTGGTGGTCACGCTATGCATCACGAACTGGCGACAGTCGGACAATGGAATGAGTTCTGGTTGCTGAATGATCTACAAGCTCACTTTCTAACCGGAAGGTCATAGCTTCAAACCCCGGAGGCTTCGTCCACCTGAAGACCCCCAGAATAGCAGTAGGAAACTGCTATCAAGTGCCCTCGGGTTTTCCAACCGTTTTATAACTGATTTCAGCTCATGAAATAGGTTTACTACCATAGATCAAAGGTCAGGCCATTGAATTTTTATTAGTAAACGCCACGCAAAAGGATCGAATTTTTCAAACTCAAACTAATTTATTAGTCAGTTGAAAGAGTTACGTCATTAGCTTTAGTTTCTCCTCATATTCATCCTGGTCAATATTCTACGTCTTTTTGCAGTCGTTCACAGCTGTATTTCGAAGAAGCACAACGAAAGAACTCACAACCAGTATTATCACAATATTTCCGAGATGAAGAAAATAATACGGAAGTAGGGAATTCACTTAATAACGTGGGTGTAAACTATCAGCAGAAACTGATTTAGACATTAAAAAAAAGATGCAAACATTGTCATTTCTTCTGTTTGACTCCTATAGAAACCGGTGGTATTGTTGACCGGGACGTATTCACGGAGCTACCGTGAATAAACCTACCCATTTAACTGCATGCATTAGACCAATTATACCTAACCTGTATTATATATATATATATATATATATATATATATGCAGATATGCAGTGACCACACATGAAGCAGGAAAGAGGATGCACTTACCATACGGTCACAGTGACTCCCTTTCATACACCGATAGTAGATATTTTTATTTCCTGAACGTTCCTAAATGGCCTTCATCCGTACCTGATTTGAAATCCTGAAAGCTACACACACCGTTCCAACCGGACATGCGGTGCCCTTGTTTTTTTAGGCGATTCTGTTCAATTCTACTTTTCTTACTGATGTTAGATGTATTCTTACCATTTTAGCTTAATAAGGGCTTCAATATACACCGTTGTTTTTTAACCACTTCTGTTACACGAAGTCGTTTCAGTCTTTCTTCTTTTGTAGTAGGCATTCTTGAATTCGGATTAGAAGGAGTATCTTGGTGCAGTGATTTATCACACTATTCCTCTGAGTAAAATCTATTCATCCAATCTATCATGAATTCTGCTCTAAGAACCAGTACATGCAAATTTTCTGTGGACTTGATGTGACAAGAAAAGAATAAGTTCATAGAGGATCTGAAGGTACTGGGTCGTAAGACAGAATTCATGATAAGTTAAATAGATCAATGACCACAGATAGCTGTGTTATTCTAATTTTGGTCTTCCAGCAAAGTATACTCATAATGAACTTACCTTGGTGTTGATACCAGAACCTTTCATATGCAACATAATCACGTTACCATTATTCTGCTGAGTTGTAATCCTATGGTAATCGAATGACTTATAGCTTCCCTCAATTCTCTACTGAGCATTACTTCTATCCATTTTCATGGACTACTATTCGCTTCTAAACTTGATTTAACGGAACTCACCTGTTAATGTACAGCACATTTTAATAGTACCGGTGACAATTAGTTAATGTAATTGCATTTAACTCATTAAGCCTTCAAATAAATTTTTAATTGTCATGGGAAACCGCTGTATTATAATTCCATATACACTACATTAACTTAAACAGAAGATCAATAATGGTCATACCCATTAACTCTTACCTCTATATACATCTTATCTTTCAGGTGATGAAAATTCTTCCAAATATCCGGCAAACATAACTGTACAAGAGCATACAAAACACGTTCGTTTCGATTGTCATATAAGGGAGAGAAATAAAATATCGTCGTACAGATGGTGAGTTAGAAGAATATATATATATCACTTTTCTTATAAAATACTTTGGAAATTAAAATGCAACTTTTGCATTTACCTAATAAGTCCAGCAATAGACAAATATAATAATAAGCGAGTTATGTACATAGTGGTTTTTGAAATAACAGAGAAGATTTGTGGCTCAGGGGAATGATACTGATTTGGTTTTGCTATCTGACCTGATTGATTTAGACAACATCCTCATTGCAAGCTTTAATATCAAGTAATCTTGCTTGAATCCATTTCAGATCATCCAATAGGAATGTAAGTTTCAGTAGCTTGAAATCTCGCTAAAATATCTAAATACATTATAACAGATAATGATGATACTGGGAACGAGATATCCACTACAAAAAACAGATTTTGATTGGAAATCGTTATTTGGAAAAACTACTAAATAATATTATCAATAAAAAGGCGTAAAAAGGAAAACAGAAAATTGAAAAATCTTGGCTATCGACGATGGCCATTCCATATCGAAAGGACACAGCGAACAACTTCAAAGACTGTTTGCTTCACAAAATATTAAAGTCCCTTTCAAGCCCTCTGTTCCTCTAGAGAAAGCTTTGGTTGCCAAAATGTCACAGAGTAATTGCGTCTATAGGATAAAGTGTTTAGAATGTGAAGCACGCTATATAGGGGAGAGAAGTAGGCAGGTGAAGGTTAGAGTGAATGAACATAGACTATGCACGAAACGTCCACCTAGAAATGAAGTAGAATTAAAAAGTCTAGAAAAAAAATCGACTATAACAATGCATGCGATAGACAGCAGACATAAGATTAATTTCGACAATGTCGAAATCCTAGGAAGAGGCTATCATTCACATAAAGAAAGGTTGACCGCTGAATCCTTGTACACATTTTAACCACAATGAATGCAGTAAACAGGAAAGAAGGGATAGACTTTTCACCTACCTATATATGGCAAACTCTAATAAAGCAAGATAGATGAAAAACAACAAAAACCTCTATGAACCTCCATGAATACTAAAAAAATTATTAGGAATTAAACGAAACAATTTAATTATTTTGATTACAGCTTGATTCCACACCGTATTTTTGGGTACAAGTATGTGATATAGGTCGCCCAAATTTTGCAAGCCGACCATAGATATCAGGTGTGCATCGGCGGGATCTCGAAACCCAAACCATATGCATGGTCGGCGAGAATCCTAACAAATCCAACAGTTGGTGTAAAGACGGGCGGTAATTTTGCTCGAAATATTACCAATAACAAAAACTTATTATTGTCTCTAAACCACTAAAATAAAATTATACTTTATTTGTTTGGATTCTTTATGAATGTTATTATATATCCCGACAATATCCTGTGTCCTGCGTGATTAGCTGTCAATCTAGATCTCTACTGGTGATTTTATTGACTGAGGATTTGAACTTTCTTGTCACTTGATTTATTTTTTATAAGTTGGTGAATTTAGTCTATAGTAACGTGTTCGTTAATCGCCGCTTTATTTGATTACCAGGCTTCTAGAAATTACCTAACTGCATTTTCGGTGTTCAATCTCTGTTTTTAAATTTCTACACTCTCCGAATCAAATTTTCGTCCCTTAATTTTCTGCATGCTTTGATATGAAAGAATACATATCATGTCATTTTGCAGTTAGTTTATGCTCTTGGATTCTGAGTAGAAAGGGACGCTCAATTTGACCGATGTATCGCATGTTTATCGCACGCAGTTCACGTAATTTATTTTGTAAATTGTGGTAATCTAATCTTCCTTTTCATCTTTCGTTCTTTTGATTTGAACGATATCAAGTAAAGTGATTGTGTTGGCTTGTGCGCCATGTTTATTTCAAACAAAGTTAGTATTCTAGCCGTTATCTCGGACATATTCTTTATGCAGGGTAGAGTGAATATTCTTTTGATTTTGAATATATTGTTTCTGATTGGCATTTCGATTTCAGTTTAAGCGCTTTTTTTGAGGGATTTTCATTCTTCTTGAAGATATTTAGTGAATATTTCTCTTCTGTCTGCTTCAGCACTGGAGTGCTACAATGAGTTCGAATCCCTCTAAACAATTTCTGTACGCTTTCGTTTTTGTGAGTCTTAGGGTTATTGCTACTATAGTTGAATATTCGATCTGTGAGTGTTGATTATCTGTAAACTCGTGTTTCCTTGTGTTTTCAAAAAAAAGCATACTGAACAAAAAGTACTCATTTCGATTTCCTATTCTTCATCAGGCTCTGCAGTTGTACATACATTATAGTGAATGAACGAATGAATTAGTGTTATGATAAACAATAATTTTGTTTCAGTAACATCCAATCAATAATATTGATAGATTACAGCTCAATAGCATCAACATAAAATAAGCTGAATATCAGAAAGGCAAATTAGGAAAGATAACAATAATACAAATTCGTCCGTTTATAGTCTCTACTGAAGGCTGGCCAGGGCAGGGCAGTAGTAGTAACTAGCTAGCTGGACTTGTTTCTTTTGAACACAGAGCACTGGTTGTTTGAGGCGAATTGCAATAGCCTCTGCTGTTTGCAGCATGAGGTGCTTCGATGATTTTGGCAATTTAATAGGCACCCAGTAGATGATAAAGAAGAATTCTTCCACGCTGGCTGGCTCTGTGGCCAGTTTCAAACAGATGGTCCAGTACCGAACTGTTCACGGTTTTAACTACAGCTTTACTTAGCCATAGTGGGAGATGTTCTCGAGAGAGCACAAAAAATCAAGTTCCTAGAGCAACGGCCAATACCACAAGAGCAGTTGAATTGGTAGATACAATTTCAAGTGGTCAGCTAGTCTAGGTACTTCATCTTTCAGTCGAAGTAGCACCACCGGTCGTGTAGAGAAAAAGACGTGTAGTTCGCCAGCATCAAAAGTTCTTTGAACTGATTTTCTTAATTTCCTCGTAATTATCTCACTTGGTATATCGCCCTTGAATTTCAGTCGTATGTATAAAGAGGCTTCTTGTGTACAGATAGTGAGTAGTCCTTTTCCGCTTTCTTTGTTATGTGTTTCTTGATAAATTTGTCGGGATAGCTATTTTCGATCAAAGTATCTTATGCAATGCTTAATTCGCCTCTAATCAGTTCTTCTGAGGACTTAGTTAACTTTAATTTAGATTTCTCTATTCAATGTTAACCAGTGAACAAAGTCAGCCAATCATAGCATGTATTCAAAATGTTTATGTTGATGTATGATTTGTTTAAACTTTTAAAGAACAAGGAATGAAGTACAAAAACACATTCGATCATACAGAAATATTCATTTGTCATACTCTCTTTTGTATATATCAGTTTGTCAGCAAAAATTATTGTCTTTATTTCAATAAGTAAATAAATTTACTTCATTGAATCGTAGTTATTGTTTGCGTCGGTGGCACAGTGTTTAGGACTCTCGCCGACCAAGCACATGGTCTGGAGTTCGATCCTTTGCCGACGCACACCGGATACCTGTGTCGGCCTGCAAAATATGGGCTACCGATGTCACATGCTGAAAATTCCATACTTCTACCAAAATGTGCTGTGTGGAGTCAAGCTGTAATCAAAAATAAATAAAATAAATATAGCTCTGTCTCTGTGAGTGAGCGTCTTAACTTGAGAGGAACGAAGCTGTGTAAGTGTGTATATTGTCCTGTCCAGATACTATTTCTATGCAGATTTCTTCGTTTGCTACCATCTGGGTTTTTTGTAAGTAGGACATCCAGGAAGGCAATTCTGTCTAGGGATTCCCCCTCAGTCCACATCCGTTCCATCTGCTCTCTCATTTTTTGGCTACCTGGTCAGCTTCGTACATTGTACGGACATTCCTCGTCCCCATTCTTATTCTCACTTTCTTTGGTAGAAGACACATCGATCGGCTGACTGGCTCGCCGAAAGCAGGCTTTTACCGGCCCGATGTGTCATTTCGCTTCTCCAATTCCAGCGAAAAATAAAATTCTCATTTGAATTTTTTATATTTATAATATATTTTCAGTGCGTTTAAGTTCATGCAGCAGTTTGATAGGATTAATAGAGTTGCTTGCCTCACTTTCAACCCTCGCACTTTACCAGGGCTTAGGATCGGCTAAAAAACTAGGCAGGATTAAAAACCTGGAAGCACTGGCTAACTTTTCCATCCAAGTTTGGGACTCTTCAGCAATAGACATCCACCGAGTTCGAATCCAGAACCTTCTGGTTACAAGGCAATATCGAATCACATTAAGTCACTGGGACCTGATCCACTTACCTCCATACCATTTGACTTAATTTACAGCCACCCACGAGCCTTTATTACCTCTTCATATCACCTTCATTAGTGTCACACGCTCACAAATCCTCCACTTGAAGCATCTTATTCGGATGGCATCCGAGGACCTGGTATGAAGTGTCACAGGAATTACATATATATATATATATATATATATAAATCACGGCTCATGAGAATGCAGATGCAGAATGCTTAGAACTTGATGGTGATTTGACACTGGATAAAAAACCGATAAAAGAGACCATCATTAGAAAGCTTCTATTACATCTATTGACTTCCCAACACACAACACATCAATCAGATGCTGGTTTTCTCACAAGTCATAAATCCTCAGAAGCAATCCGTTATCTAGAAGAGGTTAGAAAAGCACAGAAACTTCCCAGAATAGGGCTCACTTTAGCTTCAAGCCTTCTATCCCCAACAATATGTCCGAATTCAGTCATTTCTCCCTCTCTAGTGAATTATTCCGTCCTAATTATGAATAATTTAATATGTGGACAAGGAGTCGATAAACATTGGCATCCATACTGAAACCCTTAAAGAATTGATATCAAGATGTACCATGAATGTAAACTACAAATTTGACGGCACGCTTTACAGGCAAGTGGACGGGGTGGCGATGGGCTCCTCATTGGACCCCATTCTGATTGATTTCTTTCTAAGTAAGCTAGAAAACGGACCCTGGAACAACTTTATCAGTAGGCTCTCATTTTATTGCTAATATATGGATGGTAACTTCACCCTTTGTCATAATAGTTCTGATAGGAGTACAATAAATACTGAATTCAATGAAGTACGTTCGGCTATGAAATTCACATACAAAGAGGAATCCCAAGACAGAATTGCTTTTCTGGATGTCCTACTTTCAAGAAACTCAGATGGTAGTATACAAAGAAATTTCCATAGAAAAACCACTTCGACAGGAAAATGCACACATTTTCGCAGCTTCTTTCCTATCAAGTATAAAAGAAATTTAGTGAAGACGCTTAGTCACAGAGTTGGAGTTATATGATCAGAAGAAGTTATTGAAGATGAATTAGGCGTTGTAAGTGATACTCTGATAAAAAAATAGCTATCCCGACAAATTTATCAAGAAACACATAACAAAGAAAGCGGAAAAGGACTACTCACTATCTGTACACAAGAAGCCTCTTTATACATACGACTGAAATTCAAGGGCGATATACCAAGTGAGATAATTACGAGGAAATTAAGAAAATCAGTTCAAAGAACTTTTGATGCTGGCGAACTACACGTCTTGTTCTCTACACGACCGATGGTGCTACTTCGACTGAAAGATGAAGTACCTAGACTAGCTGACCACTTGAAATTGTATCTACCAATTCAACTGCTCTTGTGGTATTGGCCGTTGCTCTAGGAACTTGATTTTTTGTGCTCTCTCGAGAACATCTCCCACTATGGCTAAGTAAAGCTGTAGTTAAAACCGTGAACAGTTCGGTACTGGACCATCTGTTTGAAACTGGCCACAGAGCCAGCCATCGTGGAAGAATTCTTCTTTATCATCTACTGGGTGCCTATTAAATTGCCAAAATCATCGAAGCACCTCATGCTGCAAACAGCAGAGGCTATTGCAATTCGCCTCAAACAACCAGTGCTCTGTGTTCAAAAGAAACAAGTCCAGCTAGCTAGTTACTACTACTGCCCTGCCCTGGCCAGCCTTCAGTAGAGACTATAAATTCATGAATTTGTAGTATTATCTTCCCTAATATTTCTGACATTCAGTGTACTGCTATGTTGATGCTATTGAGCTGTAATCTATCAATATTATTGATTCGATGTTATTTAACCACCATTAATGTTGTTAATAACACTAATTCATTCGTTCATTCACTATAATGTGTATATAACTATAGAGCCTGATGATGAAGGGGTTATCGGAAAGAGTACTCTTTGTTCACTATCCATTCTTTTGAAAATGTAGTATGTTGTTTACATAACTTAAGCTGTGTGGACCACTTAACTAAATACTTCTTGTATAACCTTGTGTTTTTTTGCAGGCTTAAGAATGGAATCGATATAAATTTCTATCCTGATATTCAAAACCGTTATCAAATTTTACCAAATGGTAGTCTCTATCTCAAGCAGATCAGTCGAAATGACACTGGTGTATATACGTGCCAGTCGACTTTACGCGGTTTGAATGCTAATGACGACGAAATAAAATCACCTTTGAAGAAAAGCAAAACACCATCTCAAGATGAAGTGAATCATATTGGATTAACGAGTGAATTCAGCGCACGACCACCAGGTAATTATAGCGATACTGGTGATGAACAACCAAATATGAATACTTCTATATGGCTGAAGGTGCAATGTAAGTTCACCTGATTATTGCTGCATTTTCTACATTTTTTGGTAGTTAGATAAGATGGAAATCCTTTTAGTTTGCATAGGTTAATACCTTTGGGCGGGAAGAGATTTGCTAGTTTATTAGTGGTTGTTGTTTATCTCAGAAGATAGAGTAGAGTATCACACTGGAATAAAATCTATAAACAGTGATTAAGGCTTGATTTTAAAACTGACTTGAAAAGCAGGTAGTACTGAACAGCTGTTCTCTTCTACTTTTGGACTCTTCAGTAGTACGCAAATATGACACAACCTGGGAACGCCGGGTCAAAAGGCAAAGTCACCCAGTCAGTGTGACGACTCTTGTAATGTAATCTAGTTTTAAGAACACAGTTTTCAACGAAGAGACTCTTTCCTGCAACGAAGTTATTATCAAGCTGTACAATCGTATATATATGGTTTTCTTTTTAAGAAATTATATCCGGTGAGGAAATTAGGTCAGAGGTGTGAATACATGAAATAATAATAGTATGAAATGTAATGAAAACCTAATCATAGTTTAACGTCAAGTGGCAAAATAATTAATGTCATATACAGAATAATACATAAGGTGTATAGATTTTGGAAAGGGGTACATAACTATAGGATTAGTAGGCGAATACAAAATGTTACATAACATGGTGTGATATCTGATGTGATAGAATTAAATATTGCAAAAATAACAATCAATAATCTTGGGTTTAGTATGATAAGTGGGTCAAGTGGAAAAGGTTCAGAGTGAGAATAATAATAATCGTAGTAATAAGGGAAAGGTACATAGAATAACTAAATAAACAAACAAAAATAAATGTCTATCCCTCTATGGTCAAGGCAAAAGGAGGGATTGTACTACACAAAGGTCTGACTTAAAGTAATGAATTGCCATAGCCCCCACTGTCTTTAGAAGTCTGTAACGAAGAAAACGCGGCCAGCAAGTTAGTATGAATTCGGTAGGTGATCTTGAAATCATGGTCAGGGTTAACAGAGTGACAGCAGTCGTTCAGGTGTTCCAGAATAGAGCTTCTCACACACTTCCTTTCTCCCTTGTAAAACCATGCTGCCGGAATATGTTCTCGTATCCATGTGGAAGGCGTCCTCTGACCACGGCCACTCTACTTTGCTGCACAAGAGGAGCAGGTGAATTGATAGGTGCACATGGAGGCGGCCAGACGGGGTAGCTTATTTTTTACAGAGGTAGAGAACAATTTGCGGCTCGTGAACGATATATGTATTTTGCTGCAAATAACATCTTACTGACTGATGAAGGGAGACGATTTTTGAGCATATCTGAATCTTGATCACCTTTGAATTCCAAGTTCATGAATAAGGTTTTCTTTGGAGCTGAGTCGATGACCAGTTTACACTGCTTATATTTCATGTTGCTGTCAATAAATCGGTTAATGTAACTGTTTTATGCTAGCGTGGCTTTTAAGAAGTCAAGTTCTGAGTCAACGCAATCAGAACTACAAATTTTGTTTACTTATCTTAAAGCAGAGTGAATGAATTAGGTTCCTTTTTCATGGAGATCTGCACTCATCTGTAAAAATTAGTTAGTTATCCGTTCCATGTAAGTTTCCGGTGGATAGATCTTTTGAAAGATCCGTCATCTCGTCTACTGAGGTACACATAAAGAAACGGAATAACATATATATATATATATATATACGATTGTACTGCTTGTTAATAAATTCGTTGAAAAGAGTCTCTTCACTGAATATTGTGTTCTTAATGCTACAATGAGAATTACTAAATTATAATCTGGGATTCACAAGTTACTGACTACAGGGTAGAGTTTCCTGACGTTCCCATTAGAAAAGGGTGAACAGAGGCTTCTCAAAGTTAGGCGTGAGGACAATTAATCACTGATGGTAACGACTGGTGGTTGCTCTGGATGTTTAAATGTGACAGAAGTTAGAAATGCTGAGCCATTTGATTCTGTCTCATCGACTGAATAGTAGATGTCATTTTAAGATCCCATTTTCATTCCTCATTAGTAGGCTGACGACCGTGCCCTGTTCATGACTCCTAAACTAGCAATAAACTGCTCTCCATTAATACCTGGTCTTTCGTAATCTTGTTTGGGTCAGGAACTTTAAGTGCACATCTTGTAGAGCTTTTCCAACCGGCTACTTCAGATTTTTATCAGTAGCTATCTTCGTTTCATATTAAAGATCAAATGGGCAGAACGATCAGTCAAGAATACATTACCCAACGAATATTTTTAAGAAAACAAGGATGGACCGGACATCCTTTGAGGAGACTTTTAAGTTGTATCTCACGCCAAGCCACCGTATTAGGGGAACCTGAATGAGAAACAACGAGTTGAGCGTGTGTCCGAGGATGACATAGAGGAGATTGTATGATGAGGTGAGAGATTATTGACAGCTAAAATTGACTGCAGACACAAGGGACAAAGTAGAGATGTGCTATTGAAACCCCACTTGGAACATAAAAATAATAATAATAATAATGGACCACGAGTGGTGCCACTTATACACAGGTGTTATTTAATAAAAATTTTCAGCTTTGTATGTTTGTTTCTTCAGTTAGCTTTTGGAGAGGTTAAATTTTAAGCACCACTAATTACCAACGATCTTGAAACGTGCATCGAGAAAGTTAGTGAAACCTGCCAAATAATAATAATAATAATAATGATTTGCTTTATTCCAAAAACAGTACTTGTGATACAGAATGGAATTTTCAGCATTAATCACAATATTGCATCTAATTTCCTCAAATTTTAAATAAAACTAATCACCCAGAAACTTTTTCACATTTACAATAGAGGTAGTGTCAAAAACATGCAGCATATAAAATGGAAATAGCAATAATAATGATAACAGCTAGGGTAATAATAATAATAATACAAGTGAGAATTGCCGTTGGCTTGTGCCACACAGTATTGTCAATGTGGTATGGAAATCCTAACATGTTTAAAAATATTGAATATAATGTTCTCTTTACATGATGGTGATGGTGAGGGGAAAAACAAAGATTACTGCCGTCATGGAGATAAGTTGGTGTTTGCAATTATGAGAGTAAAACAAACGAAGAAGCAACAGGACCATAAATATAATAGAAGTAATAAAAGTAAAACTTGAAGGTATGTAAGGATGGATGGAGGAAATTGTTTATTTACTAGATGAAAGAAGGTTAGTTAATTCTTGCCTGACACTATTTTCATCACATAAAATACGTGACAAGTATGGTATCATAGAATTCTTATACTTAGACGTGCGAGCATACAGTTTTATGAAGTTACTTTTTGTTCTACCTGAGGAGATGCAAGGTGACAGCTGAGGAAGGGTAAAGTGGATGCTCCAAGTCAGACAAAATCCCTTTAGCAAATTTACTGCACGAAGTCAAATGCCTATCGACAACGACGTTAACTATGTGGTCCACTGGGACACCACTCACTCTACTGACAGTCTTCAGTATTCGACGAATTGTGACATAGTCTTTTTTAAGCGAACCAGGAAAGAATAAGGGTGAGCAATAAAGAAGAATAGGTAGGATGCAAGAGTTTACGAACTGTAGGATGAGGGGTTGATGTCATCATCATCAATAAGATTTCCTCATCAAAGTGTTGTGCTGTTAAATGGGATATCTGGCAAGTTTTAACTCAGGTTTAAGAAAGATTAAGTTACGCTTAAAGCCAAGGACAAGTTAGGGTTAGGTTAACCTAATAAAGGCGATATAAGGGTTAGTTCAAGGTAGATAACAGTTAGTTTAGGAATATTTTTCACGTTGCTAACAGGTTATGGAAAGATTAGGGTTATTGTCAGGGTTAGAATACCTAAATAATTATATGAACACCCGACTGTATCAACAAAACTCCAGTTACCTGGCTAATAAATTTGTCTTACAAAAGGATATAAAAGCCACATGCATATAAAAGTTAGTCCACTGTATTCATTTTTAACCGAAGCACTTATTAACGTGAGTTCACATTAAAAAATTACAGTTAACTACTTAGGTTTTCAGAAAATCTTTTACACTTGATTACTTGGAACGATAACCGCTGTTCTGTAAGACGCAACTTTTATCATTATGTTAAAACATCATCCCATATTGGATAATTTTATTTGATAAAACATATGGTAATATAGTGTATTAACAACTGGATGACGTTTCAAGAATACTCATAGTCGTTTTGAGAAGTTCACACCACTGCCTAACTTGCTGCAAGTCGACTCTAATCCCTCCTTCTTTCTAATGCGATTTCCCGTGAATCTGGAACTGGCATTATATTACATGTAGACTAGACAAAACAAAGATTTGATTATTTGCCTCTCTCTTTAGCCAACTTAATTACTTTTAATACATCTACCCTATTCTCTTCTGTTGTTTGACTACACGCAACTACAAGCAACAGCACTTTTGTAGTCCATTCGTGCTCTGTTCTCTCTCTCCTCTTCTCTATTCCTTCTCACGTGACTTACCTCTTTCGGATGAGATCAACTTCGTTAATTACGCTGATAATCTGAACGTTTAGCCGACAGTTACCTCCTGATCTAACTGTCTCAAACTAAAAGACTTTTTGTCTGACATAAGGCAGTGGTCTAAGCTAAATAGTCTTGTCTTAATTCTGTGAAAATGCCAGACTATTAACTTCATTTCTAGGCATGAAAATGATCTACACGAACTGGTTCATTCACATGATGCTTGTAGCGTGGCGTAGTGGATTAAGAAATGGAAACTAGGCTAAGAACAAACATCTAGCAATAATTCTATCCTCTACCTTTTCTTGATGATCCCATATCTTGTTGTTCTTTAACATGCTGCATTAAGAAATTAAGGCAATCTGGAATCACTCAACCTCTACTCTTACAATTTATTGACTCCTGCATTTTACCTGCTGTAATTTACGGCTACCTCTCAATCTTTCTTTGGTTACTCAAAAAGGACTATATATTATTGAGGAGAAGGGTATTAAAGGTTACCAGTAGGACAAACAATGTGTCACGTAATATATCTGTAAAACTTGGG